GGCATAAACCGCCGTGCCATGGCGTGCAAGAGGATCCCATCACATGCCCACCAGTGCTTTTTGCACGAGTCGCTCAGTCAGACGCTCCTTGATGGGCGCGATTTTGCATCATAATTGCATGCACCAACCAGTCTCCGTTGGCGCCATCCTTTATTATTATGATTAATTTTACTTTACACGCATGTCAATGCAAGGCGCGCAGCCCATGAGTCGAATGAGTTCGCGACCTGTCAACGCCGCTAGCAAACACGTGTGCGTGGAATCGGCAACGAGGCCCATTATTCAGCATGCATGTGCCACCTGGTTGGCCATGATCGCCGATGCGCATGCAAAAAGTAGATGGCCTGGTACGTGGCATACCTTGACGTAATAAATTACCTAGTCTGTTAATTATATATACTTGGCAGTGGGCGAATGCATTCTGCCGTGGGCTATTGCCAGTCTGGTTAATAATACTGGACTGTTTTAATGTTCCATTAATAGTGTCCGCATGCTGCCAAGTTAGCTATCATCTAATAACACCCATCGAATCTGGAGGCCTGGTGCAACCGCATCAGCCAACCAGGATTCAGAGACGACAATAGCCGCAACCGCTACCCAGTCAGCCATTAAAGGCAAGGAAGGAGCCAGGCGTCAAGCCGATGTCGGATCCACTTTTTTTTAAAGTTCCCAGTCGCTTCCGAAACGCAAGGGATCAGCGAAAACTTCACAGTTCGTACACCGCAAGTCAGGGTTGCCATTTGTTTAACGTGTGCAGTACAGCGCAGACGGATCCTAGATCTTGCTTCGAATTCAATTCGCATCGTACGTCGGCATGGCCATGCATATTTCTCAAGCCTTTGTGAAGCCATCCAAATTCCTCGTGGCCAAAACCCCCCGCCGATGTTCATGCCCACCGGCCCACCTCTTCACCTGACAGGTACCTACCTCAAGTACCTCCCAAGTATATTGCATATCCCTTACGGAGTACGGAGTACACAAAACTAAAACACTGCAGGCAATAAATGCATCCCAAGTGAACCCACGGCGAACCCACAGACGCTGCTACTGCCGCAGATTCACAACATCGTTGCTCCATACCCAGTCATGATTCGCCAGCGGTATGGGAGAACCATGTGTCGCATCCAAGGTCAAGTCTAGGATGCAGAGCATGTTATTCCTACCTTTTGGCCTCTTGATCCATCAGCGGACATCTAGGTACAGAGTACGGAGTGCTTTGTTGATGCAAATACATCAATGTACGCGATTCGTGGTACTCGGTTCTTGTTCCTCGCATGTCGCAAAACCCTCATCCTTCACTCTACGAGTCATATGACGCCTTGCCGTGTAGCATGCCATTCAACTGCCCGATATGGTAATGTCTCCATCGTCAGGTTCCGTGAGGCTCCTCCCGCTCCCGGTTTCTTGTTCCCGCTCCGACAACGGAGTAGGCTCAAGCAATACGCCGCCAGAGCGTTGATATTGACAATCATGTTGGGCTTCCTGGACTCGGCTCCATGATCGGACCCATTGGTTCTGATCTGGGGATTGCTCCCCGGGGTTTTTTTTTTTGGCCATATCTTGGAGTCCCCGCGGTGCTACGTTTATTGTTGCGGGAGTATTGGCATGGAGTCGGAACCACCAGGTTGGTGATGATTTGCTCTTGGACCCCAACATGTACCTGCACCTGGAAGTTACCTTGCTGTAAGCACACTCACGTGTTATTTAATCATCTGGACCAGCGCGGTGTCTCAGCCACGGCCAGCAGTGGAAACGTGGTGTCATAAAACCACCTGGGCAAGCCAGCCACGCACTTCACCTCACCTCACTCACCTCGGAATGAACCGAGCCAAAGGCGGCTAACGCTGCAACATGCAAAAGGCGCCCTTGTGATCTCGGTGACTCGGAGAAAGGGCCGTCGGGAAAGGACAAATGTCACGCTCGGGAATAAAGTGTGACAAGGGCTGGCGCCATGACTAGCCAACATTGAATCTGCAGCCCTTCCCATCGGCTTGCACCATGGTCAACCGCCGCGCCGACCTACCGTGGTATTCTGCTGTCAAATATGGGGCTTCGGCTTTGCCATCTGGCCATATGCGGTAGCTTTGCACGACGGAAAACCAAAAATGCAATCTTTGTACGGAGTACACATGTGGCTCCCGGCCGACGGCAATGTCATGTTCGGCTTTATCATGAGCGTTCCCTCATCCGTCTTCCGCATATCCGCCATCCGCCGCATTTCCAGAAGCGAGTATTTTAAAAAGGAATTACAGGGATCACACGAATGCACACACGCAAACACCCCAAACCAAGGTCTAGAATAGCACAAACCCCATCACCAGGGATCTATCCAATTTTTATTTACTTATTTGTTTATTTCATTTCCTTTCGGCCCTGTTCCGTTTAAGCCGACGCAGCTTCGGCATTCAGCGGGGCCCAAGCGCCGCATAGCTTCGGGATAAAGCGCCCTCACCTTGCGCCTTGACGAGCAACCCCGTGTACGCAAACAAACTCTGTGTCCAGATGGCAACGGGGTTATATCCACAGCCGTCATGATGGGCCGATGAAGCGACTAAATGCGTGCATTCATGTTGTCGGTGAGAAAACCCCCCTCCTGCCCCTTTTCGCGGAAAACCTTCATGGATCATTTATGCAACCAATCGGTACGGCAAAGAAACTAAATTAAGCAAGCGGCCGCCAGGTTACCATCATTCATGATGAATGGCTACCATTGAGAATCGAGATGCATACGGTACGCCATCAGGGAGCCGCATCACGCCACTGCCTGCGTCCTCCCGCCACTCTGCCAGCAACTTTCCGCCGTGGCCATGGAGCCCTGACCGGCCGGTGAAGATTTTCTTTTGTGGGTCGCGTCGTTTCTTCTCCATGGAGAAGACGTGTTTCGTAGCAACATTGATGAAGACTTCTAGAAGGACTACACACTTCTACATGCTTCTACCAGCCGATTGGAGTGCCTCGTACGCAACGACAATGTATTGGAACAAAAACTCCCTCGCCTGCAAGGCGTCACGATAGAGAGCGCTGTATTGCCCAACTCCGCCGCCTGTCGAGGCAGTCCACGGCCCTGCTGTCCAGCTAGCTTTACACGCCCTATATGTACAAGTGCATAATTGGTCCGTGGGGTTCAAATCATCGCTTTTAGGTCTGTGCGCGTGTTCCCTCGGACTGCTACTGATATTGTCTATGAGGACCAGCGGGGCGTCTTTGATAAATTCGCACTTTCACTTGAATCACGTGGCAAGATTTTACAAGCTTCACAAAAGGGTCAACACTTGAGTCACACCATGTTTTATCGCCTCTTCAAAAAAAGAAGAGTATTATTATGAAACGCTTACCATGACGCATGTCTACGTATGTGTCCATTTCCATTCATCACATACACACTGCTCAGAAAGTCTCAAAGGGCCCATGTGGCCGGCTAGACAGCAGGTACTGGAGTGGTAGAGCACCAATATCGGTCAATGACGAGGCGTTGATGACGATTCTGCCAGCATTCATTCCAGGGCCTTTGTCTTCGTAAAAAAAAGGAACGGCCCCCGAGTCAGGAAGGTTTAGAGCACTACAGTGGGAGGCAAAAAGTACTTAATGAAATCAGGTTCCCGGCTATCGTGCTCTATACTATAATATACTATAGTTAGTATATTAGTGTATACCTCTCGGCTGATAAACGTATTCTGCCAGAGTCTGTCGTCCGGCGGCTATCGGAATTCACGACGCACAGCGTCCGTGGTCTCGTGGCAAAGTTGCCGATTGACGAGTTGGCAAAGGGCAACGGCCTCATCGACTACACTTGGAACCGAAAACGCCTTGTTAGTCCAAAATCGCATTCGGAAGCGGGCAGATATACACGACTGTTTGGATGAATCTCCGCCGGTGAGGCACGCGGGTCTTGCTTCAATTCGCAGTACAAGTGACATGATTTCATCCCGGACCTCTCGCGGGAGAGGCAACTGAAGGCATTCAAGGTAGCCGCACACCACGCCGTATATCGTCGTGTCCGGTTTTGCTGAACCTTGAGCCAAATACAGCTTTGCACAGGTTTTTATTCCGCTGCAGGTTCTAAACGCCACAAAACATGAAGGGTTCTGCTTTCGTGTCTGCATCCTCATGCTGTAATGTCGCGGGAATGGATAAAGAAATGTTGGTGGCTGAGCAGGCAGTTGGTTGATCCAAGTCCTGCCATGACTTAGAAGGGAAAAGTAGAATGATCTTTTGGTGCGTAAACAAGGCGACGACTGCCACATCCGGCCTGAAAGGGAAGTAGCTGTCAGTCAACGATACCTCCCTGCTGTATCGTCAGTGCTCGCGCGTGTAACCAGACACTTGAATATTAATTTGCCACGATTGGCAACCTCGACTTGATCCGCGATTGCACCCGTCGGTCTAGGGACCTGACCCTAACCCTAACCCTGGCTAGTAGGTCTCCTAACTACCTTATCTTCTAATTTGAACATTGAAATAAAAGGCGAGGGCGCCGCATCTGAACATCGCACAATACATCCTGTCACCCGTGTCATCACCCTCACTTGGTAATTTTCATCAGCATCTCCTCACTCAACGGTTTGGTCATCTTCACAGACGCCATGCCCACCATTCCAGCTCGTTCCTTGGCCTTTGCTCGGTTGCGCACCAGGTAGTTGAGTCCCTTGAATGTGGATGGGTTCTCGGACCCGTTGAACTCTTTCATGAACGTCATGGTCAAAGGCAACAAGTTACAGAGTTTGAGACCGCAGAGCAAGACGGAGAGATTGTTGTGTTGCAGGCCGAACAGGAATGTGTGAATTTTTATGAGTGCTTGTTCCCATGGATATTACCGGTTGTAACGGCGGCAAACCAAGCAGTGCCGAATTCGATGTGCTGTAAAAATTGTGCTTGAATACGATAAAAAATCTGTTCCATTCCCGTGTTTCAAAACATGGCCGGTGGCAGTTCAGTCTGGACAGTGTTATTCAAAACCAAAGCTCTGTACCCCTTTTCGCCCGTGTCTACAAGTAAACTACCTACTGCCGTCCCATTCGCGGCCGAGCTTCCCAACCCATGACATGAGCCAACTTCTCCCAGCTCTCCCAAGCCCTCTTTGCATGCTCCCAGATCGTCTCTTCCCCTTGCGCTGCTGTAGTCCTCGAAAACACCTCCATGCTCACCCATCCCTCCCACCCGGCACTAACAAGCGCCTGTATAACGCTTACAACGGGCAAGTACCCTCTCTCCTCGAACGGAAACAGCCTGGCATTCCGACTGAGGGCCATGAGGGGGACCAGTCCCGCCTCCTTGCGCCAGGGATGGTCCGCCGTCAGTGGCGAGTCGGGCAATTCTGCATCGGCAACTTGCAGCAGCGGCATCCTGGCCATGGGAACCGTGTCGACGAGCCTTTGGAGGGATGCCCGCAAGCCGGCCTCTGCGTTGGGCATCTTACCACACGCCTCCTCGGGGTCCATGTATGTCCGGCCGCAGATATTGAACGTGTCGGGGAGGAAAAGCAGGCCATCGGGCTCACGCGCGAGCTCGATCCTGTCCCACGCCTGGTGCCAGTCCTTGACGTGCGCCGCGAAGCACAAGTTCTCATAGGCAACGCGTATACCCTGTGCCTTTGCGAGCCGCGACAGTTTTGCCAGATCCGCCGCGACGGCGTGGCGGTTGTCGGTGTAGTCGGCAGCCTTCACCGTGGGCAGCGCGCTCGGCACGCCGATGATGCCCGCGCCGAGTCGGCGGGCTGTGGCTAGCCAGAGCCTGAACTCGTCTAGCCGCTTCTCCCGGAGGCCAGGGTCGGTCAAGCCGTCAAAGTTGCGGAATGGCTGGAGCGACAGAATCTCCAGGCCGAGACTTGCTGCCAGGTTGGCAACGTCTGTGGCGGCTACCAGGACGGCGAAGCTGCTTGCCGCGGCCTCCTGCGCGGCACACGAGCAGGGCTCGTCGCGAAACTGGAGGGAGTACTGGAAGAGGTCGTCCCAGTACATCTCGACGCCGAGGAAGCCCTTTGCGGCTGCGATTTTGAGCTTCACGTCCAGAGGGTGGAGGGCCGAGGACCCGAGCGACATGGTTGCTATGGAAGGGAGGAAGCGCTTCTGCCGTTGGACTTGGCCGGCCACGCCGTTTCCGTGGCTGACGTCGATATTGTTCATGTTTGCGCTGCTGAATCTGGGTTTTTGTTTCAAAGTGACGGGCGTATGCGCTGTGGGTAAATGTACTATCAAAGTGCTCAACATTCAAACCATATTGACAACGGGTCGAATGAAGAAGACTGCGGTTGGGTTTGAAAACGCCCCAAGTCATGTCTGTGCTACGCCATCCGGCGAGTGAGACTGCTACATTGGAAGCACACAGGCGGAAGCAACAAGGATAGGCGTGTGACTATATTTAGCCGCTTCCTCGCATTATTCCTTTTTCTCGTAGTTTCCCATCTAGTATTTACTTGCCGTCTCGTTTCACAACAAGGAACAAAGACTGAGAACCGAGTTGTTACCCGAGGATATTGCTAATATAGACTTGAACCTTGGGGATAGCACTGGCGCTCTGTCTTGCTGTTGTACGATTTTGATAATCATCTCCGGCATGTCACACAGAAACAAGCGGTCTATCGGCTGCCTGTGGATGTTTTTTAACTGAAAGCTTCCTCCCCCTTTTCCTCAGATGATTTATAATAATTTTTATAGAAATACATTAGCTCTTTTAAGCCGCTGTAGACTTTATAGCCTCTCATGTCTTCAGCTAAAACAATCGAATCAAGTCCGTGTTTAAGCCCACTGTGTGTCGTGAGCCCCAGCTTACACCAAGTCGAGTATCCAATATCAATACCGACTTTGGCTGGTAATTTCTAATTCTTAGCTTATTTTAGTAGAAGGTTGTTACAAGAGGAGGGGGAAACCCAATATTTCTCGATAGAATAGAAGCTATAGTTCTACTTCAAGAGACCCTGGAGCGAATCAAGTGGACGATGGGGGTTCGGAAACCCCGGGCTGATCTTCCGCGTGGTGATAGTCAGGCCCGGTGGCTTTAAGCAATACAGCGAAACCCAACATAGCTTTACTTACAGAGCCCATTGTGCCGTGTCTCGTTGCCGGGGACCCCTGGACGGTTCTGCCCAACATTGCCATAATTGTCCAAAATTCTGGAGTCGGGAAAGGGAAGAGAGACTCGTGGCCCTACGGAAGTGAATTATCAGGAGGCTGAGAGGGTCTTTGCTGGATTACTAACTGTGGCATAAACCGATATGTTGGGGTGTTGCATTGCACAAGTGTCAGCGCTGTGCGCGTGCCGTGGATAATTCTCCCTCTTTGCTTCTCACACTTCCGTTTCTTCCATCATAAACCACAAGTCGGGCGCCTCCTTAGGTTGGGAAATCGCCCCTGCGCCGATATCAACCTGGGTCACATCTACAAAGGTTAAGGAACTCCCAGTCACTCTTCATGCTCTCCTGGTAACTGCGAATTACCCTCGAATTGCCTGGAGGTCCCAGCACTTCCTGATATACAACTTGACTTTCTCACCGACCCTGAAGGCCGCATCTGTCCCCGACACACCCAGCCCTTTTCTTCCAATCCATCTTTCTACAAAATTCACTTGTATTTCTTGCAAAAAGCCATCTTCCACCATCATGGTGTCCAACGGTGTCAAGGACCACGGCCCGGGCAAGCTCGCCATTGCGCACCACGCTGCCACGACCGATATTGCCCTCGAGGCCGAAAAGAACTTCTCCGCCCAAAACTACCAGTCCCTCCCCATTGTATTTTCCCGCGCTCGGGGGGCGTCTGTCTGGGACCCCGAGGGCCGTCATTATCTTGACTTCCACTCCGCTTCGACTGCCCTCAACCATGGCCATTGCCACCCGAAGCTCGTCGCTGCGCTGGTCGACCAGGCCTCACGACTGACGCTTACGTCGCGGGCCTTTCACAACGATGTATACCCCCAGTTTGCCGAGATGGTGACCAAGACTTTTGGCTACGACAGAGTCCTGCCTTCGAGCACTGGCGCCGAGGCGGCCGAGACTGCCATCAAGGTCGCTCGAAAGTGGGCTTACAAGGTGAAGGGTATTCCCAAGGACCAAGCCATTATTCTTGGTGCGGCAGGAAACCACCACGGACGAACGGTGAGTAATCCGGCGTAAATGTGAGGCGACTTGGGGTGGAACTCGTTGACAAAAGAGTCTTTGTTCTACAGCTGGCTACTATTTCTCTGGCTTCTGACGCCCAGTCGCGGGAAAATTATGGTCCCCTAGTCTCTAATATCAGCTGCTATATTCCTGGAACCGACAAGACCATCGCGTACAACGACAAGGATGCACTGCGTGAGGCCTTTGAGAGAGCGGGCTTCAACCTGGCCGCCTTTGTCATAGAGCCAATCCAGGGGGACGCAGGCGTCATCGTGGCCGACGACGACTATCTTCGAGAGGCGAGAACGCTCTGCGACGAGCACCATGTTTTGTTGATCTGCGACGAAATCCAGACGGGCATTGCGCGGACAGGGAGGCTGCTCGGCCACTACTGGAGTGGGATCAAGCCCGACTTGGTTCTGCTGGGGAAGACTATGACGGGTGGCATGTATCCTGTCTCGTGTGTCTTGGGTAGCAACGACGTGATCCTCACAGTTGAGCCCGGAACACACGGGTCGACGTACGGCGGCAATCCCCTCGGCGCGGCGGTCGCTATGCGTGCTCTTGAAGTTATCGACGAGGAAAACTTGGTCCAGCGGGCTGAACGCCTCGGCAACATTCTCCGTGACGGTTTGAAAGCTCTCCAGGCCCATAATCCTATTATCCAAACTGTGCGTGGCCGAGGTCTTCTCAACGCCATGGTCATCGACCAGTCCAAGACCAATGGACACTCTGGTATAGAACTGTGTGAGCTGATGAGAAAGAAGGGCCTTTTGGTAAATATCTACACGCCAGCTCCTCTTTTGACAAAACCTGTTAGTAATGGTTTCTAGCTCAAATCTAGCCGTACTGGTGTCATCCGCATCGCCCCGCCGCTGGTTGTCACAGAAGACGAGCTTGAAAAGGGCCTCCGAATTATCAAAGAATGTATTGAAGGGCTTCCGGGCCTCTCGATTGCCGCGTAAGACAATATCATGATCGCTACGGAGGAGGGACTGGGACTGTGGAGTCAGAAAGCTGGTGCCAGAAGGTTGCCTGGTCCTGTTGAAAAGTTGTGAGCCACAGAAATAATGAGCGGATCTCCTTCTATGCCTCCATCGTAAAGCGTACCAGCTATATTGTGGTCATTGAAGGCATGTTTTCCCTATGATGAGAAGCCTGTAGCCTTTTGCCCGGAGGAATGTGAGAAAGACGCCTGATCTGTTCATCATCAACTTGTCACACAATGTAGTGGGAAAATGGGGTCTATTACCTTGACTATGCCTTGAGACCTGCTTTGTGGGATTTCAACTACTCCTTCACTTTCGGGGTATGAAAATCCAGGATGATGTCGTCACTGAATGCAATTCATCTCTTCAAAGTAAAAGATGAAAAGGACACGAAGCCATGGATATGAGTGTGTGCGCCTGTGGTTAGGGAAACGAACGAGAGCTGCCAAATCCCCTGATCAAGAGCATTCCGGGCCTTCCGCGAAAACCTTTGACATAAAAATCTGCTCCGCACAAATTTAAACGTACGATTCGACTTGCAAGGGATTTTTCAAAGATGGCGAGCTGACCAATTTTTGTCGAGCGTGCGAGATGTAAATTGTATTTCATTACCTAAATACGAAGTTTGATACCGAACCTTTTGCCCATTTTTCACTCAGACCTGCATGTCTCCTCACAGCTGGCGGTAGGTTGTGAGTTTCGATCCTCCTGGTGTGTACTACAGCTTGGGCGTCAATCGTGCTGTCAACCACTTGCTTAGAGACGGCTACCTCATTCCTGACAGGTCCCATAGCCTGTTAGTTTCCATCTTCATGAAATCACTGACATCCATGACTTCTGTCGCCTCTCCACAAAGTTGTTGCTCGCCATCTTGGGGAAAGAACATCTCAACTGCCCGCTTCAACGAGGTTTTGTCTGACCATGTCCGAGGGACCGTTTCGCCGTCTCGCAAAACCCGAAGCACAGTAGGTAGCTGATAGGCAGGCAAGTCTTTTGAAAGGTCGCCCCTGATGGTACTCAGGTCGACTTTATGGAGACAGTCTTGAAGACGAACAAGGGCAGCCACCCGGGTATCGCACTGCGGATCTGCCACTGGCACGATGTATCCCTCGGCGATATAAGGAAGCGCAACCAGGCTCGACTCGACCTCCATCCGCGGGACTTTGTACGTATAAAACTTGAACACTGCGTCAATGGCCAATCGTTAGATGTTGCGTCTCGCGTAAAGCGGGTATGGGTGAGGGACGGGTGCTGACAGTCCATGTTTGCCCTTCCTTTGAAGATGTAGCGGCCGTTCTGGCGGATGGCCAGGTCGCCAGTTTTGAAGAACCCGTCCGAGTCCATACATTGCGCTGTCGAGTCCGGAGCGTTCAAGTACCTGAGACGGCAAGGAGAATTTAGTGCATTGCCGTCCAACGAAAGCCGAGGGAGACGCATACCCAAGAAACAAGGATGGAGTCTTTACAAGTAGCTCCCCCTCATCGCCGTTCGACAGCTTGATAGCAACGTTGGGAAATGGCGTTCCCAAATCACCCTGGCTCACACCCGTGTCAGAAAAGCGCAGAATACTCTGCGAGACGTCTCACCTCTGTCATGCCGGATCCCTCGTCGCAAATAGAAATCTCTTGTGTTTCCGTAGACCCGTACTGCACCTTGAGCGGCCTTCCGCCGCGCAAGTCTTTCCAAAACTCTTTGATACGACTACAAGGCATGGCTCCCGTTGCGGATGCATCGCGAAGGTGCCGAGCTCCCTGGACGTACTCGTTGATCGTGGGCTCGGGCAACTTGGAGATGTGTCTCTGGAAGAACTGCATCATGCCGTACCAGAAAGTTGGGGACAAGACAATCCTGGTGCCGGTCCGGTCACGGAGCTTCTCCCATACAAGGTCGTAGTTGCGTCCGAAATTGTGAATCTCGACGCGGACCCCCGTGAGGAGCATTTGGAACAGTTTGGTGAAATAGACGGACCAGAACGCTCCCCTCGGTATGATACAAAGCTCATCGTTTGGCCCGGCTTCTTCCAGCCGAGCATACTTACTGACCGTCCGACGGGCGTGTAAAACGCCCTTTGGAGGGCCGCTCGTTCCCGAAGTAAAGAACAGTATGCTGGGACACTCTTCAGACACTGCGCCCGCTGGATCCAGAGTATAGGATGCAACCGGCACCAGGCTCTTGGAATCGCTGACTTGGCCCTTGATGAAGAGAAAGGGTATTTTGACCTCGTCTTCCACCCGGGTGAAGAAGTCGACTTGCTCGGGGCCAACAAGAATACAGCACGCATCGCATTGCCGCAGGATATGCGCTGCTTCGGCTGGAAGCGCGCCCGTCGCTGTTGTTTTCGAAAAGGATTGTCAATTAGTCCAAACTTGACGTTTTGCAACGGGGGACTCACGCATTGGTACAGCGACACCACCAAGAGCCAGAACGGCGAGAACCGCAACAATGAATTCATAGCTGTTGGGAGCCAAGACGGCGATATAAAACCCGCCACGATTATCCAGAATGGACCTGTCGAGGAGTCTTTGTAGCTTCTGCACGAGGTTCACGGTGCCGTGGAGGATGTGACCATAACCAAACTGTGTGCCACGGCTGCGGTCGTCAACAATAACCTCACCATCTCTGTGGGTGGCGAGTTGCAGGAGTCGAGAAAAGATGGGGTCGTCGGGGAGGGCAGTCTGTGGAAGCAGCATGTTTTCGAAAGCTAAACGGGGATCACGATGTGAGCTTGAGCCTGGAGGTTTAGGAGCATTGGGGGAGTGTTCTGCTTTAGAAGGCCTTTTTCTATTGGCCCGCCAGACACGTGATGGGTTGTGTAAAGCTGATACAGGACCTTGAAGAAAGCCTTTTGCTCTCGACGACCATTCTGAACTATTACCGGGCTCATGGTGTATTACGGAGGCCAATCTGCTAGTGATTGGGCCGTTGATGTGAGCGCTTGGGGGCAGACTCTTCCCAGCCTGGTCGAACGACTCCACGCCACTATTGCTCCGTCAAACTATCATGGTTGTCAGATGGGCGAGAATATTCAAAATAACTACTATAGAATAGGCGCTGAATATCCGTCGCGAAATTCTACGTGCAGTGGCACGTCTCTGCTTTTGCCAGAGTCCGGACGCTGAATCATACTATTGCTGAGTTACGTTAGTTCGTGGACATTTCCATCCAGCAGTGTAGAAGCTGGCCTCACGGCTTGACCAGATTTCCTCTCGCTTGTCCTTGTCACTGCGGATACAACCCCAAGGTATCTACTTGGCAAGTAAACGGCAGCAGTAGAGCTCTCATACATGGCAGCTATAAACGTTGCTCTACCCATTGAAGGCGTTATCTAAGCAGACTGAAAATAAACAAGGCCTGAGTCAACAATACATTGCAAGCTGGGAGGAAATTTGATACACTAGAGTACCAGATACAACAGGAGAACTGAAGAGAATTCAACGGGTTGAATAAATACAGACAAATGCCCAGGGTACAAGGGAGCGAGTCCAAGAATGAGCTCAACCACTCTTTGAACGGACGCCTTATGAGGGCCTCCAATAAACACATATATCCGTCCTACTGGGGTCTCACAGGCTGTGAAGCGTTCCGAGAACCAACAGTCCCCTCTTCCCTGGTTGTGCTTCCTAGATTTTGAACCAAGCCATTAGAAGAGCCATTGCCATTCTTGTTCCTTCTCGCAGATAGGTAGTGATCGGCGGCATCGCAGTAAGAATCCAAGGACCGGACGGCCGAGGTGCATATGGCATCAATGTCGCCGTGTATAATGAATGCATTCCAGCCCATGTCAATCCTACGCTCAAGGGTAGAAGGGGAGATGCCAAAACCCATGATTGGAAGGTCATTGGCCTTTGCAGCATCCCGGATCCTCTGGAGCGCAGAGACAAACACGGGCTCATCGCCATCCAGACTCCCCACAGCCAACCCCATACACATGCGCAAATCACCGGTACCAATAAAGAGCCCGTCAACTATAGACGAGCGGCATTAGCGTAATACACGGCCGACACGAAACAATGGTAGGAGTGGCGGGTGGCGTGGGCGGGAACGCACCTCCTGGAACGCCGCAGATCTCCTCGATATTGTCCAAGCCTTGCAAATCCTCTATCTGGCAGATGACGGCGGCATGGTCGTTCCACACATCGTAGACGGTCTGGGACTCCGGCGTCCTTTGCTGCCTCTTGTTGATGAGGGCCGCGGGAGGGAAGCTGCGGTCGCCCATGGGCGGAAACCGAGCCAACCGGACCAATTCCTCTGCTTGTCGGGATACCCGGCCGACACGAAACAATGGTAGGAGTGGCGGGTGGCGTGGGCGGGAACGCACCTCCTGGAACGCCGCAGATCTCCTCGATATTGTCCAAGCCTTGCAAATCCTCTATCTGGCAGATGACGGCGGCATGGTCGTTCCACACATCGTAGACGGTCTGGGACTCCGGCGTCCTTTGCTGCCTCTTGTTGATGAGGGCCGCGGGAGGGAAGCTGCGGTCGCCCATGGGCGGAAACCGAGCCAACCGGACCAATTCCTCTGCTTGTCGGGCGTTTTGGATGTGAGGCATCACGACACCCCCCGCGCCGGCATTCAGGGCATAATTGACCAGCTCGGGCGAGCAGCCCGGGATCCGAACGAATGGTACCATGGAGCCGCTGGAGTGATACTGAATCGTTCGGACAAGGTTGACAAGCAGCGTTGCGTTCAGAGGCGTGTGTTCCTATGCGTGCCACACACTCGTCAGATGGTAGAATGGCGCACACGGCCGTGCGGCGAGCGTACCGCGTCTATGAAGCAGAAGTGATACGGGGTCGAGGCAACAATCCGCGCCGCCTCTTCATGGGGGATTCGGCATCCCGTGCCCCAGAGCAGCTTGCCGGAGTGTAACATGGACTTGAAGTTCGTGGGCTGAGCCAAGCTCAAAGCGTTGTAGTGATTTGTGTTGAGCATTTCCACTTTCCCGTGGTGAGTAGTGTGCTGCGTTGAGGATTGTGGCTGTTGGCGAGACTGCCCGGAACAATCTTTTCAAGGAGTCAAAGATGCGCACACTCCCTCATTTATGTGTCATTGGGCTGTACACAGCATAACGTGCATGCATGGCGACCTTGCCATCCCTAGATCCCCGTCTTGCAAAGAGGTTGTCAAGAGACAAGCAAAGTCACAAAACTGAACCAATCTTTATCACTAGTGAGACTTTCGTGGGGAATGTCTATATTCATTTGACGAGTGTGCTCGCTGTGACTGGCCTTGCCGCATGTACCGATTCGCCGGCCTTCCATTCCTTTGTTTTCAATTTGTTGCGGCTCGGATACTAAGCTCAAGCCTTGCTGAACAGTATTAAGAGATTTAACCAGTAAATGGCTTTCATTCCAAGATCCAGTCATTTCTATTATAGAAGGAAACGATTGAAGGAGGCCGGGTCGATTGAAGCAGGAGGTGGTGTTACCTGGCCTTGTACCCCCGTTACTGATCGTCACTGATCGTCACGGGCGATCAAGGCATAATTTCTCCAAAACAGCACCGGTTAGCTAAATGAATACTCGGGAGGACAATGTCTTGGCCCGTCTGGGAGAATTTCTGTCACGTTCTTGTAGTAATCAGCTCTGCAACACACCCTCACGTCTATCCACACCGTTGTGACCAACCACGTGTCAGCTTTCCTCGATGGCCAGGACCAAGAGACATGGCAGTCCTTCCAGCGGGCACATGTGTCTGAATAAGCGAATACTTTACAGAAAGTAATGTATGGCGGGAGGGGGCTTCAAGTCTGCTGGTTGTCTCACGACCACAGGGGACGATGTCTGCCTGGCTGCTGGAAGCTGTCGAAAGAATACATGCGGCCTAGTGTCGCCTTCAATACCTGGCCGGTTATTAAGAGCAGCACGAGGACTAAGTGATTCAAGGTATTTAAGCAGACATATTTTTTTTCCAAAGATACAAACTAAACGCCAAACTATACTTTAACATCCCACTTAAACATGGGATCCGTCGAATCGTCCAAGCAGGCAGATCTGAAATCAATCTCACTGGCGGGGCTTCTTGCCGGGAACAACGATGTTGTGAACGACCTTGTGTCCGCGTGCAAAGAAAACGGCTTCTTTTATCTTGATTTCCGTCACGAGTCCACATGTGACATCCTGAAGGTTGTCGACGACCTCGCTGCTATTGGAAAGTCAGTTTTCAAGCTGCCACTAGAAGAAAAAGAACACTATAGCACCGAGAAATATCTACCATCAAGGCTTTTCGGGTATGTTTTGTCTTGGTCCGCCTGACTCGGATTGCACATTTTCCAGAACCATGGACCTAAACTTCTATGCTTTAGCTACAAACGAGTCGGGTGTTCCGTTGGACCATTTGCCGGGAAGAAAGACGGTTACGAGAGCTTCTCGGTATTTTCCCACTCTACCCACATTGACGGCTGGATGACGATGAGGCGTTCTCTTCATCGCCTTCCAAACTTGTCCGAATGGAACTGATTCGATACCCTGTAGATCCACAATAATGGAATCTTTGGTGAGGATACCATCAATGCTCCTCCAGCTATCGATGAAAACTTGCCACTCTTCGAGACATTCATGAGCGAGGTTCATGGGTATACAGATTGCATCCTGTCGAACCTGTCCAAAGCGCTGGAGCTTCCGTATGACTTGAAGGACTGTCACCGGAAGGACAAGCCATCGTCTGCAAACATGGCTATGTTGCAGTACCTAGCTTGGGGAAGCAGTCATGACCACATCGGGAACATGGCACATACCGATATGGGAACTTTGACGGTTGTTTTCTCCCAGTCCGATGGCTTGCAGGCAATTCTGCCCGGAGATAAGGAGTGGTCTTTTATTCCACCCCGAGCTGGGCATGCCGTTGTGAATGTCGGGGACTCGTTGCGTTTTCTTTCCAATGGTGTATTGGCCTCGTCTCTTCACCGCGTGGTGCCTCCACCCGACTCAAAAGGTCAGGACAAATTCTCCGTCATCTATTTCTTACGGCCAGAATTTGATGCCAAGTTTACTACCCATGATGGAAAGCAGATGAACAGTGTGGAGTGGCATAATCAAAAATACGCTCTGTTCAGAGAAGCGAGCCTGGATGCGAAGCAGCATGGTGCCATGCTGACTGGACGCGAGGAGTATCTTGGCTCCACTGATCAGTGACTGTTGGCAAAGTCTTATCAGTAATCCTTGATTGTTGATGTTTTTTGTTTGTTTCTTGCCTCTAATATCAATAAATCAGCACTTTAATTTTGGGTCTCCATTCGAATAGCGCATCGTGCCCTTGAATACTTACGCATCGACACGTGATGTCCTGCAACAAAGGATCATTTACCACTAGCAATGGCCTCCGGTAATTGGACTGGCCAGACATGTGAAATCAGATGCACATGCTGCCGAGATTCCAGGTTTTGACACTGGTATGGATCCGGAATTGAGATCATAATGGGACATGGCATGGTGGGACCCCGGGGGTTGGGGGGCAACGGGACGCTTCTCTCTCAAAAGCGCATGTTCCATCAAGTAAATGTCTGTTACGGGGTGGAGAATCGATATTTAGTGGACGTGAGTACTCATTATCATTTGCAATAAAACTTTTCCGTATTGTTTGGACGCTAGTGCTACTTATCGGTTAACGACGAAAGAACGGAGAACTGACTCATGAAAACCTCTGAATACGCCTGTAAGCTCATGTCAACTAATCAGAGTTAGCGTGCGCAACTGTCTGTTGATAGGTGTGACCGTACAGTTGTTGAAGGGGTCGTATGGGGCTAAAAAGCTATCCACCATTGTACCGATCGTGTTTTGATGTTCTCGACCCCGTTCCTGATCAGTGGAATATTCTTGCGCCAAAGGTGGCACCAAAGAGTGAGTAGGATGACCAAAGAGGTCGCCAATACCTGTCGACGTGTTAATACAACTGAAAAGTCACCTGGGGTATAGTATCAGTACCAGCCGGCATTGATTCGGGCGGCGTCGTCAACTGGCCAGCCGGTTGAACGAGGGCTAGTTCGCCCGCGCCCGAGGAGGGCGTTAATCGCGGTGATTTACGAGAGTTCTGGTTCGGCTCTTCTGGTTCGCATGTATAAGCATTGCGATTGCTGTGACACGAGGGCGCTCCGAGAGAGCCTACCATCAGCATCCTTGCGCTTCTTGCCCGTCATTTCCCTCAACTTTGTCGCGATATGGTTGCCCAGTTCCGAAAGTTCCAAATCCTCCACCAGCTTATCGATGCCTAGGCTTTTGAACTTGAGAGCAGCCGCACTCATTTGCTCTTTGGTACATCTGGATGTGTACCTATAAGATGTTTGTGAGCTAGGGTTGCCCGTTGAGGTGTGTGTGGTTGGAAGAAGGCATACGCTGAGTGCGGCACATTTGCAGGCAGCGCGAGAAGATATCCAAGATCTGATGTTTCGCTGAGCATGTCAGTCCACTCACGATACCTACAGCCCTGATCAACCCAGTTCAAACATTTGTTGGCCGTCTTTTGGTTTTGGAAACGCTCCGGGAAGTCCTGGCAGAGCTTATTAACCAGCACAGTTCGCATTTCCCGGATCCAATGGGTGCCTGTATGGAACCCTGCCTCGACAACATGCGAGTAGATATTGTGGCATTCAAACCTATGGTAAATCCTCATTAGATCACGAATGTCAGCATTTTCTTTCTTGGCGGCTATCGCGGCTTCCCATCCATGCCCGGTTGGGAGAGCCGCTTTAGCTTCCTTGATTGCCCGCAGGAACTCCCCGCGGTCTGTTCTACAGTCCTCCAAGAGTTGTTTGGTGCTCGGCGCAAATTTTATTTCGTTGCAGATGGCCAAGCCCGTTCTGGCAAAGGCGTCGCCATCGGTCTCGACATGGAGAGTTGTCGTTTTGGCTTGGTGTGAGGCGTCTGCGATCGGAGAGGGCTGGTGTTCGTGAGAATGACGGATGTGGCGAGGTCGGTCTGTGGACGACGGTGACCTTGCACAGTCGTCATACTGGCGAATGATCCGAGCCGCCGAGGGCGCATCTCCTGGCCTGGACGGCCTGGGCCTGTTGGCTTCAAGACTGTTGTTGGCGTTGATGTTGGTGAGCGATGCGACTGACGATGGTGGGCTCGAGGTCCCACTCGCATCCAGGCGGGAAGGTGCGCCCCTCTTCTTGTTGCCAAGATCAGATCTCAGGGTCCGAGACCACAGTTTCGGAGTCTGCATGAACCCACCAACCTTTGTTTGATGCAATAAACAAAACAGACGATTCAGGGCCGACAGCTCCATGGCCGACAGATGCTGCAAACATTTCGATACCTGCTCCTCTGAGATTCTCGACTCATTTGCCCTCAAGAACCGAGCAAGCTGGGCAAGCAAGTCTAGAAGCTCCGGCTTCGACTTCGGCTCCATGCGCACCCAGGAGGAAGCTGGACTCGAGGAAAGAGGAGTCCGGTCTGGACGCGGTCAGACTCAACAATGAACCAGACATGACTCGGATTCCCTAGCGCTAAAAACTATCGGGGAAGGGTGCGGGCCACGGTGTGCCGAGTCTGGGGTACCGGCCTTGAATGACCTTCAAGATGTCATGGCCCCTCGCGGCATCTCTCAGCCAGCCACAGCCTCAGATCCAAATGTCGGTCTCAGTTCATCACGGCTCATCACGGATCGGACCCACTTGGGCATGAATATCTGAGAATTTCAGGAACATGTGGAGCTCCATCTTCCGTTCCACGTCGCACGTATCCCGTCCGTCTGTGTCTTCGGAATCAAAATCCCGCTTAGCCGGCAAGCCTTTGGTTCCAACGGCCCAGATCTGTTGAAGCGGCGATGAGCGGCGGCAAATGGAGCGGATAGGTTGGTGCCGATGTTACTTCGGTACCGGCTGGCGTTTTAGCCGCTTGCCACCGGGGGCATCGCGACTGTTCTTGCTATTCTACCATTTCTAGGTCGGCAGAAAGGGAACGAAGGACCAGGGCGCAATTAGATCACTTTGTGACAAAAGCCCACAGGATAAGAATCAGTCCTTTTATACTCTGTGGATGCGTCTCGCCGTCATGTTCGATGCCTTTGGGCAGGGGTATTGCCGTCAAAGAGGTCGACGGCAAAACGAGCGGCTTGGCCGGCATTTTAGCATTAAACCAGCTGCTCCTCGCTTAAAAAAAGCCTCAATTGTTTCTTATTGAGCTTTGAAACGGAAAAGCAAGAATAGAAACGCACCAGCAAAAACAACTTCTAGCCTCTTGCCACACTACTTATTTTGTCATCCTTGTACTTGCCTCAACATACTCCACCAATGAATATTCGCACGCGCTTCCCCAATCTTGTCATTGAGACTGTTCGAAAACAATTTCCGGGTCTCAACAAAGGTCTGATCTGCCTGAACAATGGCTCTGGTGCTTTGGTTCATAGAGGAGTCATGGAGAGGTGAGTTCGGCTCCTAACTGCTGCGGTAGAAACCTTTCAATTAAGAAAAGGGTCTACGCAGTATCACCCGGACAATGTCCTCTCCCCATATGAACTTGCGCGGACTGGACTCAAAAAGCCGCATCGACGTCAGAGAGCGTGCGGTCCAATACGTGAAGCTTGCATCGTTCATGAATGCCGACCCTGACGAAATTGGTAAGAGATTCCCGGTCGCGGACACTATTTCGTATAGTTTGCTAAAGGTATACTTACGATATTCACTTGACGTCATATAATCCATGTGCTACTGATGAGTGTTGCTAATGAGACTTGAAAACAAAGCCTTTGGACCTTCTACTACCGGGCTTCTACGAACTCTGACTAATTCTCTTCGTCCAAATCTCAATGCGGATTCTGAAATTATTGTCTCTGTTCTTTGCCATGAAGCTGGCATAACGGCGTGGGTTGCCTTAGCAAAGAGCTTGGGTGTATCCATCAAGTGGTGGGTGCCGGCCGGGGGAATGGGAAGCAACAGAGACCCGAAGCTTACGCTGGAATCGCTCCGACCGCTTTTGTCATCCAAGACCCGACTTGTATGCTGTGGGCATGTGTCAAATATTACCGGAACAATTGAACCCATTCAAGAGATTGCAGAGCTCGTTCATACCATCCCTGGGGCTTTAATATGTGTGGACGGAGTAGCCTGGGCTCCCCATCGCCCTATTGACGTTAGGAAGTTGAATGTCGACTTCTACGTTTTTAGCTGGTATAAGGTCTTTGGTCCCCATATTGCTCAGATCTATGCCAGACGGACTGTTCAGCAGCGCTACTTGACCAGTCTCAACCACTACTTCCTGGATTCGTCCTCTCTAGCCGTGAAGCTGGGCCTTGGCAACAGCTGCATCGAGCTCGAACATGCTCTGATCCCCATCATCAATTACCTAGTCGACGAGGTTGGCTGGAACTCTATAATTGCATACGAGGAAGTGATTACAAGATATCTTCTCGATTATTTGACGGCCAACCCGGACCTTTACACTGTATATGGGTCGCGAACGTCGGATCCAAAAACTCGAGTTGCCTTGATCAGCTTTTCCGTGAACGGACTCGCGTCTGACAAGGTTGCGAGCGAGATTCACGAAAGATCAAACTGTCGGCTAATTACTGGTGACTGTTGGTCTCCCCGTACAGTCCATGATGTTCTGGGACTGGCAGATGACGGTATCATTCGAACAAGCTTGACCCATTACAATACCATGGATGAGATGAAGATTTTCACAAGAAAACTCCATCAGGTAGCACATTCCTTGAAGCAATGAACTACAGGGCTGCCAGTCGCTCATTTATGGCTGCGAATGGGGATATAGGGGCTGAACTTGGAGTTTTCCGCTTCCACCTTTGTGAGCTCACATCTTACTTGTGCAGCATAGAAGAGTAACAGAACAATAGAAAAGTCTGGGAGGGTAAGAAACAGTCATTAACTGGCTTACCGACTTCCCATTGAGCCAATTCGTCCAATCTCATTTGATCTTTTCCATTGTAGTGGCTGCAACGCCCGAGCACCATCGCCTGGAGACAAGATATGTGTACTCCCATAGTCATGACTGATATGCAATTCCAGAATGCACTCAGTCAACATCGTAGATTTGACCGTAGGAAGATTCAGACTCCAAAAATAGATATTATTCATGTTACCTGCAAGGTGCGAGTCTCGAGCATCATTACAGTATTCTCGATCTACTGGCCTAGGGTGGATGCCAAATTACTTTCGTGACTGACGTAATAATGCTATTTCAGTCTATTTAGATGAAGACTTGCTCCCATCATTTTAAAATAAGTTATCGGTGATATTAGTTGGTTTACTCAAAGTGCCGATATCAAGTTGTGACAAACGTGCCTCAGTTCAGTGAGAATCGCCTATCAAGAATAAAGACATTAACGCGCGAGTGGTATGGCTCCCGCCTTATGGAATCGTCAAGTATTCCATACTGGTGACATTTGTTGAAGCCCGCGCGCCATTGTCTCATATTCTAGTTGGCAATCGGCATGTTGCAAGGGCTTCTTGTAAAAACAGACGTGCAGCGGCCATTGAAGCACGGGACTTGAAACCGATCCGTCCCGTTTTAAATCCAACTACCCCTCATTTGTCATTTTAAATTCAAGTCCTGTACATAAATAGGGCCCTGGCACCTGCAAGGTTTTCATTTTCATCAAAAGTCAAGAACAGGACGTCTATTTCTACCCTGAAATTTTACTCTTGCTCCATTGCTACGAGATGACCATCTCTCAGTATCACGATCTGCGAGGCAGTGCCAATGACAGCTCCCTCTGTAGCAAACCTTTAAAGCTAAGGGGTCTTCTAGATAGCTACAGGTCCTACAATGTTACGCCCGTCATCGGGACGGAGTTCCCTGATGCCAACGTGGCAGAATGGATGAAAGATGCAAACAGTGATGAAATTTTGCGAGACTTGGCTGTTACCAGTGAGTATACTCTGTAGAGTTATTCGATGGCGTGTGGCTAACAAGTGTGTATAGTCTCCCGTCGGGGTGTGGTCTTCTTTCGAGCCCAAACTGATCTTACAGATGAGCTTCAAAAGGAGTTGGCTCTTCGCTTGGGCCGTCTCACGGGCAAACCGGAATCCTCAACACTGCACATCCATCCACTGGCCAACTTCAATCCTGATCGGGACCCCTATCTCAACATAATCACCACCGACCAGGCAGCTAATCCCGCAGAGGACCTTTGGAAAAACAGACCCGCTGATATAAGAAACAGCTGGCATACGGATGCTGGGTATGAGCCTAATCCACCCGATTACTCCATCTTGAAGCTTATCAAACTCCCCAAAACCGGTGGAGGTAATCAATTCTATATCACCCGTTTCCAGGCTCATTTATATATAATACTGACCGTCACCTACATAGACACAATGTGGGCCTCGTCTTGCGAAATCTACGACAAAATATCCCCAGCCTACCGCAAATTCCTCGAAGGCCTCACAGCCGACTTCTCCCAATCTAGATTACCAAATGTAGCTGCTGCGAAGGGATTCGAGCTGTATTCCGAGCCCCGCGGGTCCCCTAACAATATCGGCAGTTCTCTCAGAGCCGTCCACCCAGTCGTTCGCACCAACCCTGTCACTGGCTGGAAGAGTCTCTTTGCCGTTGGTAATCACGTCGAGCGGATCAACGATGTGACGCCTGATGAAAGCAGGAGACTGCTCGATTGGTTCCTGCAGTTGATTGTCGAGGAACATGACTGCCAACTGAGGCATCGGTGGGAGAATCCCTACGACATCGGTGCGTACTCGGACTCCATAGCGTTTGTCTGTTTGGTATATCTGATGAGTATACAGCGATCTGGGACAACCGCTCGGTCTACCACACTGCCATTTTCGATTATGCTGGATTGGGTGCCCGCACTGGCCATCGTGCGGTTGGAATCGGCGAGAGACCGTATTTGGACCCGAGCAGCAAAACCCGTCGTGAAGCCCTCGCTGAGGAATGAGTGTAGTTTGATAATTTAGTCATGAATGGTATGCTCTGCTGAATTTTATTAAACTAAAATACCTCCAGGAGATTCTATGGGAGCTTGGATTTTTGCATGGGCATATCGGAATGTTTCGTTATATCACGAGCCCCGAGTTATCAGGAAGGCATCAACAAAAGTGCTTCTCATGTCTTATGAATAGAGTAAATGAAGAGATTTACTGAAGAAACAACAATTCATATAAATCAGAGTAAGCAAAGGATACGCGATGGCACTTTCTTCAATCGACTACTACACCCTGGTATGCGGTGTTGAACAGGCCCTGGTGGCAAATAGGCCCTTGGCTTAGGTTTGGGAGCTCGCCATTGAAAGGATGCACCCTTTTCTACTTGGTCAGGCCAAGATTTGTCGGCCAAACTAGTGCCTTGGTGAGTTAGTCTTATGAGATAACTGGCGCGTTGATAGCTGTCACGGCGGGTATTGGGCTATATCGTTGAGCCATGGAGAAAAAGCATCTAGCAATAGATATACTTGGCCGAATATATCCAATTGTAGTTTATTCGCTTGCACTTTGACAACTCTTTTGTTCGTGAAAACGTTGATACGTTCGAGATGCACAGAAACAAGCCCAGTATATGCCCCTTTGCGATGCCAGTAGTGGGAGGTCTGGTATTCTCACTCGGCTTGATTTTCATTCAAAATTATCTCTTCATCATGAATCATTCCTAATCTGCATATGACTTGCAGATATTCGGGACTCAAGTTCTATCAGAATCCAATCATGCAACCAGACGAAAAAGAGCGGTGAGGTCACAAACTAAACTATAACACGATGAGATTCCGCACTATAAAGCGACGCCATGTGTTAACCCTGTAAATATTGTAGCCAATGTATAGTGTTGCCGTTGTCTTGTACACTGAGCTTGTGTTGCAACTCGTAGGTACTTCTCGGGTACAATGGGATGTATGATGTCGCATTTCTCCGTGCTAGAAAGTCCGTGTATTTGCTTCTGGCAGACGCAACTTCGACGAGAGAAGCGGCGAGCGCCTGAGCTATTCCTTCATCCGCTCGAGAAGAGAGGTTGTCTAGCAAGAAGCCATGACATTGCCATAAAGAGAAAAGTTAATCACCTTGCGCTCTGTCCCTTGCATCTCTTCATGCCCCAAATTATATAACCCTCAATCTTCTGATATCTTACGTCTTCCACCGAAGAGATGCAAACAAAACTCATCTTACGATTTAAGTTTACCAACTCTGGAATATGGCTTCAGTGACCGTTCATCTTCCCGAATCCCATGGCCCTCTTCTAGCAGAAAAGCCCGAAGACCCCGTCTCAGAGAGCCCTCACCACGTTCAGACTACGCTCACCTTTGTCAAAGAGAACGAAGATGGCTCCCCCCAAGCCCCCATATACATTGGAAAGCCAGAGAGTTACGAAAGACCTACCGTCACTGTCCCGGCCACTATCCATGATATCAGTGGTCACGAGCATGAATACACCCTGGACAGCCACGGGTTCCAGTTCCACTACCACGAGAGCAAAGTGAAGGAATTCCTTGACGATAAAAAGATACGAGAAGACTATTACCCAGAAACAGAGAAGCTTCTTAAAGATGTGTAAGCAAGGCGAAATTTCTGAACCCAAAATAGATAGATCAGAATATTGACTAGCACAGCACGGGTGCCTCTCGGGTCTTCATATACGACCACACCATCCGACGAGCCCCAAAAGATTGGACCACCAAGGGTCAGCCCCGTGGTCCGCTCAAACGCGTCCACATCGATTCATCTTACCATGGCGCCAAGTGTAAAGCCTGGCACTATCTTCCCGACGAAGCGTCAGAGCTCCTCAGGGGCCGCTACCAGATGATCAGCGTCTGGCGTCCGATCCGTACAATTCTCAAGGACCCGTTGGCACTTGCAGATGCACACTCTGCGCCCGAAAGTGGCCTCTTTCCCGTGAAGTTTATTGCCCCGGACCAAGAGGGAGAGGCGTGGAACGTCAAAGCAAACCCAGATATCAAGTGGTACTTTCGCTACAAACAGACTCGGAATATGGTTACTTTGATCAAGTTTTACGACTCTAAAGTAGACGGGAGAGCGAGGCGGGTGCCTCATTCCGCTTTTGTCGACCCTGCGACGGAGCATGAGGCAACGAGGGAGAGTATTGAGATGAGGGCGTTGATTTTTCATCCTGAGGATCGTGATTAGCCAATGCAATTGGCTGAGTAGTTTCACGCAGGTTGGCTGTGATGCAAGTGAGACTATGAAACGGGTTGTTTAGTGTCCCCTGCAGAGCACCACAAATTGTCTCTGTCAATTGAGCGAATCCTGGCACATGCTAGTAATCTTTGAGTATCCACTACTAGTTGGAAGTTGACAATTGTTCTACCGGAGAATATACGTAGCGAAAAAAATGAAAATTAAATGGGACATGTCCTCCTTGGAGGAAAGGGGTAAAGCCTGCGAATTCACGACACATCCCATTGATCCAAAGGTACTATTGATATAGTAACTAGATTATCCAATCTTGGTCATAAATTGCTACACCAAACCTGGGCGCATGTGTTTGACGGCAGACTTATAGCATCGTCCCAGCGTTCATGTCCCCTGCCTGATCCAAAGATGTGAGACCCCCTGCTTGCTGAATTTTCACTTTGAGACGTTGGGAAAGTAAAACGCAGTGTATTGAGTTGATGCGCCAGGTTGCACGATATTAAATGACCAAGTGGATTTGAGGGATGTATGATTAAAATAGAGCATCTGCAGAAGTAACCAGACACAGCGTACCGGTAGGATAGAGTAAGCACGCATATCTTCTCACTTCAGACGATTGGTTTACTGTAGAGGCCAATGTTCCAGCCTCTAGGTGCAGACAAATGAACCAACCCGGTAAAACAAACCATGACGAGTCGACTGAATGCAGTCTCACCTTTCCTCTTCACAGGCTTGCCGATGACCCATCCGTCCTATGGTATAGTTCTTGATATGCCGCTGTTGTACAACCGAGAATTTGGCTACTCGCCGCAGGTCTCGGCATGTTGGATAGTAATACTGCGACAAGCCGTCATACCATACCACGGTTGTTCACCACAACCCAGGCCAGAGATTCCGGACTTGGGCCAACTCAAGAGTCGATTTACAAGTATCCAAGGCATTTCAGCCATAAGCAAATTGAAGCACAGCATGTGACAAAAAGAGGGGAAAACAATCGCAATTCTTTTTGTTTCGACAAATGCTCCGCAAAAGTCCTTGCCTATCCCAAGATGTGAACCCAACTGATAGTCGACTGGTTAAACACAACGCGCATTTACAGGATGCATGCTCTTTCACCAAACACCTGTAGACTAGGCCCTGCAGTCATTTCTTAGAGCCGTTGTGGCTTTCATCCCCGGAGAACCTTTGAGATACAGACAAGTCCCTCTTCCAGTTCCTGCCACGTTGGCCACCCATATCCCAGTCGGAAAAAACTATCATCCCTCTCAAACCAGCCTCCTCGGCCAATGTAAACCCCATGCTTCTCCAGCAATGTTGCGTAGAATGCGCCTAATCCTCCAACCGGCTCCTTTTTGATCTTGACAAAGCACATTACTCCTGCCTCTGGTCTCACCCAATCCAGCCACTCGCTCTCCTCAGCGATCCAGCTCGCAACGCGGTCTCTCCGCTTCTGCATATCGGCAATGGTGGCGGGAATCAGCTCGTTCCGCCGAGACAGGATTTGCTCAGCACAGATTTCGTCGAGGCTACTGCCGCAGATACTAATCTGTTCCTTGGCAGCGAGAAATGTCTCTTGCAGGCGAGTGTTGGTGGTGGTGAGCCAACCAACGCGAATTCCGGGAACGCCATAGGCTTTGGACATGGAGGAAACGCCAATGACGTGGTTGCCAAGTGAAGCCGCTGCTGGAATTGCATCCACTCCCTCTAGGTGATGAGAGGCGTACTTGAGCTCCGAGTACGTCTCGTCAACAAGAAGGTGGCACCCCTTTTCTTTGGCAAGGTCCGCAAGAGCCCGGAGCTCGGAGCCGGTGTGCATTGTACCTGTAGGGTTGTTGGGAGAGCAGATACTAATAAGCTTGGTGACGCCGGGGCGAATGGCGGCGCTAACACGGCCAATGTCCAAGCGGTACTGAGATTCAAATTCGAGATCGACGCAAGTAATGTCGCAGCCGATGGCGCGCGGAACTTCCAGGTTGGTCGCGTAGTTGGGACGCGTGATAATCACATGGTCCCTAGAGCTCAGAAGAGCGCTATTGATGATGAAGAGAGACGTCGAGGCGCCTGCCGTCACAAGAACGTCCTCTGGGTCAATGTGCCCATTAGAAGCTTGAGCGACGAAAGAGCGAATCTTGGAACTGCCCTTGTGCTCCGTGTAAGTTAGCACGGTATCTGGGGGGATCGTGATATTCAATGACTTGAGCGTCTGGTCTGATATGGCGCTCTCAGAAAGATTGTACTTGATCGTGATTCCGACCTCCTCCGGGGCCTCTTTCTCAATGGCCATTCGTTGGTAGTTCATCTTGTCCGTGTTGTTGCTGGAGTTGTTCTATGCAAGGGAAGAATGCAGAAGAGATGTGAAGTCAAATACCTGCCGAGTCATTGGAGCAGGAGCTCGAAGGACAAGCTTTGTATTGTAGGACGTCCCTTCATCCGTCAGCGAGCCTGCCCCCGCACGCTTCTTGGAATGTGCCTCACATGCTGATGTATCACAAGGTGATTTTTTTTACCGCAATTTCCATGTCACGTGCACGCACACACACACAGAGGGACGCATCGTGGATGCACAAAGTAGGGTGTGAAGTGATGAATTCGAAAACAGCTGACGTCTAATATATCTAGCTCCCATTGTGATTGTGAACCTTCTCATCAATATTCTGGAACCGGACTACACATTTCAGGCCCTTCGGCACCGCGTCATGGGTGCTACACTGCCTCATCGACACTGAAGTCATTGATCTTCCCATAATGGTATTATACCTTAAATATATTTGTGCGATTAGAACTTTAATCTCCAGTGTGGCAAGGGCTTTGCCTAGACATATTCTGGCACCATGCCCGAATGGAATCAGATGGGCCTCACGCTTCTTTATCGTTAATGGGTCCCCGTCAAGCCACCTCCCAGGACTGAATCGATCAGGATCTGGGAAAATCGTCTCGTCTCGATGAAGAGCCATAACAGAGGTTGTCACTATAGTTCCCTGTGGGAGGTAGACTCCACACAAGACGTGGCCACCCTCAGGAACGATGCGCTCGGCTCGTCCACTGGATGCCGGGTGTAGGCGATAGACCTCGCGAAGGCAGGCTTCAAGTGAGGGAACTCGGCCATCGAGCTCAGAGAAGGGCAAAAAGCCGTCTGACTGTATCAATAAAGCAGTCAATTCGTCTCGTATCCTCTTCTGCCACTCCGGAGCCTCTGTCAATCTCCATATCAAGTATGTTGCCGTTACCGCAACCGTGGCTTCAGCGGCATTGATGTTGTCAAGCACCTCGGCCGCGATATACTGCCGGTCAAGCGGTGGCTTCGCCGTGTCACTCTCGCGTGCTTGAAGGAGGTGTCGGAGTAGAGAATGAGAATCAAATGCGCTAGGCCCCTTCATCGCCTTTGCAGTGCGTTGCTTGCACCACGCTGCGAGCTCGTCATCCGCCGATAGATGGCGGAATCTCGAGCCCAGGACTCTACAGCACTTGGAGATGTAGTCGTAAACGATTGGATGCCGGATGCGGAATGAGCCGACAAACTGTTGTTGCTTGAGACGGGCGAGGATGTCGCGCTCAGGGCAAGCAGTTTCGACGGAGCGAGTGCAGCAGTCCGGCCCCAAGACAAGATAGGTAATGATGTCAAGCGCGTACCAGTCTGTCAAACTGTAGACATCGACCTCTGTATTCGTCTGGATTTGTCGGAGAACTGTCTGAGCACGCTCTTGCACATGTTGTTCGATATGAGGCAGCTTGTATATAGTTGAGGGCTGGTAAAAGGCCGAGATCAACCTACGCTTTGCTTGGTGCTCTTTATAAGGCTTCGTGGCGAATACCGAACGCCGATTATATCCCATGAAATGGTCAAAGTAGTTGCTCTTTGGCCATCGATGTGCTGTGCCGTAAATGTCCCTTGTACTTTCAAGCGTCGCGACTGAGACCTCGTTTGGGGCGATGCACAAAACAGGGCCATATTTCCGATGCCATTCGAGAATTTTGTCATTTCGACAATAACGAAGATCAGCCAAGGCCAGAACCAGTCCTGAAATCTTGCATAGCCAGGGACCACGAACGTGATGGAGCGGTCTGCAACGACGATGGGCGAGCCACACAGTGGCAATCAAAGATGAGATACACAAGATTGTGAGAGTTGGATCGTTGGGAAGGAGGTGCCAATTCTGCACTGATGTCAGTGCCAATGTGAGCATTTCTTCAATCATCAATTCTCGAAAGGTCGCTATTTGTCGTTGAGAGGGAAACCATGGGCGAACAGACTTTGCTCGCTCCTGGACCAGTGTTGATACGGAATATTGTAATGTTTGTAGAGTCCCCAGTTGGGCTGAAGCCAATAAACGAACGGCAGGAAACGTCTGTCATCAGAGCTGTAGGTAACTGATAGATTGCAGCGAAAGTGTACCCAAATGCACTATTACACCCCCGTCATTTAAGCTGACGGATCGTTTCAGACATGTTCCCTAACGGGGCGAAGCTTCGGCCGACGTGTCTTGCGAGGAGCGTGGCTGATAACTCGACCAAGATATAGTGCTTACTGCTTACTGCGGTTCGGGTTCACAATTGCAACTGAATATGCTGTGCTACACAGCCCTACACCGGTACAGAAGCCGAGCTGCTGGACGAAGGGAATATGGATTGCCCGGTACCAAAATGCTGTCGTCACATTGTCACGTTGAGGCGGACACCTCTGCCTGCATCAAGGGTCCCTGCCGTATAGAACGGCAGGTGAAGTCGAAACACTGGTACTCCGTATGAAGACCGATCATGGCTCTCGCATCATGGGCTGCATATTCGGGCACTATTGACAGGAGTGCAGGTATTAATGAGCTACAACAATACATCAGACACACCGCCATTTGGCCACCCTTTGTCAATAGTAGGAAGAGCAGCAATGGAAATTCGTAGCAGTTGAAGAGACTTCACTTTAAAATAGAAGGCAATGTTTACGAGTATTTGAGCCATGGGTTGGCATCTGCTTCTGGTTATTTGGGCGAGTGATTTGCACAGCCGTGTCAGGCAATCGTGAGTTCAGAACCGATTTGGAAGCACGCTTTGTAGAGGACCATACGCGCGGCCCCTGTTGACTGCGAAGACTGCTAATTGCAGAAGTCGCCAGGCCTTGAGCCGTGACCGGGGTGCGTCCACCTCTGTCTTTTTTCTTTTTCCGGCGCTTTCGAGGCCGTACGGTCTCAGTGCATGCTGTGCTTGGAACTCAATGAACTCAATGGCTGTGTTGCGGGAAAATTATACGTAGCCAGTATTGATAGGACAGTGGCTGGGAGCAGTTGGGTCGTACATTATTCCTGGTTCATGTCAATTGTGTAAATCGGTGGCATCTACAAGGGTTCATCTTCTTGGACAGCTCTGAGTACAACGTGAGATACGACTGAGAGACCGAACCCAATGCTCGATGCGAGACTCAAGGGGATAGAGTGATAATCGTTGCAAGTGGCTAGCTATTTCTTCCGAATTGGGTTTCCTGCGCGTCGATTGTACTGATGTAGTTCAGGTGGCGCTGGTTTCTTAAATATACTTCTCATGTCGCAGTTACTGCAGCTGCTAGTTCCATGAAAGGATGCCGATCGTAACGTAATATCTCCACAGAGGTGCCACCCCGTTCTCTTCCTCTGTGACACATGTTTGATTCGGTGTGATTTCAGCAAACGATAGTACGAATGAGAGGCCGTAATGAGACGGCAGAGCACCTACCGCCTCTTCCAAAAACTAGCGGATGCAGTGTAACTTTGCAGCTCCGCCGGCACTGGTCGACAGACAGGGCTCATATTCCAGGGACTTTGGGACTACTCCGTACTCGGGGGTTGTGTTTTTGGGCACGCAGGTGGCAGTACAGAGTACGTAAGTGAATCAATGTCTCAGCCACCGACATTTGTCTGCCTTGAGTCAAATCTGATAATCCCGAAGCTTCAAACAGTAGGAGCGTGAACCCCAACTAGAACCCCAATTGCGCCATTCGTCATCTGATATTCACACCGCAAAATATCGCGAAAGTCAAGTTGACGGTATAACGGGGGGGTTAGATATCGTCGCTATCTTCAGACCAATTCAGGTGAACACTGTCGAACATGCCCGGCAATGGATTGAGTCAAGTTAATGGTCAAGAGATTACACGCAAAGTATCGAAGCCTCCTTTCAATAACATCTTGCCAACAACAATGCCGCTACAAAACAGCGCGGGAAGAAAAGAGGCCTGTTTCTCAGCAAATGGTATCAACGGCACCAAAAGGTTTACCGAAATCCCATCTACTACGGCGAGCAATGGTAGCCCAGCTGCAGTAATTCAAAAAGTAGAAATTGACCACGACCGGGTGCCTCACTCGAATGGCGAGTTACGGAAGCCAGATTCGGGAAGCGCCGCAGCCGCCGAACATCTAGAGCAAATCTGGGAATGGAACGGCACGGCACCAGAGTCAGTGGAGCGATGCGTCCATGATTTAATCATCGAGAGAGTCCGGGCCCAGCCTACTGCTCCTGCTGTTTGTGCCTGGGACGGAGAGCTTACATACAGCGAGCTGGATGACCTTGCTACCAAACTGGCGTCGCGACTTCGCCGCTTAGGAGTCGGACCGGATATCTTAGTACCGCTATGTTTCGAAAAGTCCATGTGGACTACAGTTGCAGTACTCGGGGTAATCAAAGCTGGAGGTGCTTTTGTTCTGCTGGATCCGTCGCTCCCGGAGCAGCGCCTGCAAGTCATTGTTCATCAACTCCAAGCAAACGTCATCGTATCTTCAAGTTCCAAGGGTGAAGTGAGCTCGCGGCTTGCAAAGAGTGCACTTGTCATCAATTGGGAATTCTTCACTTCCACTGAATCTGCCAACATTGACGATACTGTCTCGCAAGCCCACCCTGCCAATCCGGCATCTCTTCTCTATGCGGTTTTCACATCTGGAAGCACCGGCATGCCAAAGGGGGTCTTGATTACTAACAAAAATGCTGCTTCAGCTCTATACCATCAAGCAGAATTCATGGGGATGAACCAGAACGCAAGAATATTTGACTTTGCATCGTACAGCTTCGATGTTTCAGTCAGCAATGTGCTCTCTGCCCTTGCGACTGGTGGCTGTCTATGTGTTCCAAGTGATCAAGATCGGAAGGATAACTTGGAGCGAAGCATAGCGTCGTTAGAAGCCAATATACTTGATATTACGCCGTCCATGGCTCAAGTGTTGTCGCCCGATAGGATACCTTCAGTCAACACTGTGATTTTCGGAGGAGAGGCCTTACATCCTGCGGACATCAAGCGATGGTGGGGGAAAGTCAACATCATTCACATCTATGGGCCATGCGAATGCACACCAACAAGTACGATCAACCACAGCATGGCTGGCCCGGGCGAGGCGGTACACATGGGAAAGGGCGTGGGACTAGTGACCTGGATCGTTGATCCAGAAGACCACGAGACACTGCTTGCTCCAGGATACACTGGTGAATTATTGCTAGAAGGTCCACTTGTTGGTCGAGGTTATCTGAATGACGACGCAAAAACTGCGGCTTTGTTTATAAAGGACCCGGAGTGGCTACTTCGCGGAACCTCAACCAAGCCGGGGCGGCGCGGTAGGCTGTATAAGACCGGCGACTTGGTACAATACACGAGCAATGGGTGCCTGAAATTTGTCGGCCGGAAGCAAGCGGCTCAAGTTAAAATCAGAGGCCAGCGGCTCGAGCTCGGGGAGATCGAGCACACACTTCGCAATCATGCCAATGTGGATGAAGCGGTCGCCGCATTACAACACGAAGAGGGCCAAGAGTCCCGGATAGTCAGCTTCGTGACTGTGCGCGATGTTGGTAGCATCGACTCGCTGACTGACAACATTGGAGAAGTGAAACGTAGAGATGAATGGAAGGCGCACTGCGACGGGGAATATGTCTCCGGGATGGACCATCGGGATCTGACCGACCAGCCTCTCAACAATGGCAAGTTGCAAAGGAGGAATAGGCAGGAGATTCATGACGAGCTCTTTGGAATGCTAAAGTCTCAGCTCCCACTATACATGGTACCGCAAGTGATCGAGATTCTGGATAGAATGCCTCTCAACCGGAACGGCAAAATCGATCGCCTAGCACTCGTCAAAGGCCTCGAAGGCCGGGCCTCTGCACGAGGCCCTATTCGGCAGCCCGTGTCGGAAGCCCAGCGACTGATGCTCCAGGTTTGGGCGCAAGTCTTGAAAATTGAAGCTTCCACCATCGGGACCGATGCTAGTTTCTTCCATCTTGGGGGCAGCTCGATATCGGCCATGAAAGTGGTGGCTGAGGCTCGAGAGATTGGCATGAATCTGAGTGTAGCCGATATATTTCGCTATCCGATACTTCATGAGCTGGTCGACCAGAGCCACCATGAATCCCCAGCTGAGAAACCAGACCAAGTAGTTGTGCCCTTTGCCCTCTTATCCAACGAGACTTCTCTGAATACTCTCCTTCAGGAGATATGTATCCAATACGACCTAGGCCAGATTGGTGGGACAGCAGAAAATACGTTTATACAAGACGCTTATCCATGCACCCCACTGCAAGAAGGTCTGATGTCCTTGACATCAATGAGTCCAGGGGCTTACATCGGGCAGAATGTGCTAGAAATATCCCCCGATGCTTCAATTGAGAATCTATGTGCGGCATGGGAGCAAATTGTGCGCCGTTTACCAATTCTGCGCACTAGATTGGTGCATCACGACCGCGTTGGTCTTGTTCAGATCGTGATAAACGAACCTATAAACTGGATCGAAGCGAATTCTTTGGATGACTATATTAAATCTGATATTCAGAGACCCATGGACCTGGGCCAGCCACTCACTCGTTTTGCCCTGATAAAAGACGCCACGGGTAGCCCAAGGTGGTTTGTCTTGACTATACATCACGCCCTCTATGATGGATGGTCTATGCCACTAATTCTAGACGCTGTGAAGAAGGTATACCGAGGCGGAGAATTTCGAGAGGGTCCGCAATTCCAAGCCTTCGTAAAGTACGTCAAGAGTCAGGACAGAAAGATGATGCGGGATTACTGGCTTGATGCTCTCGAGGACTGCCAATGTGCGCCATTCCCGGGTCTCCCACCACATATTGAGAAGCCAATGACGAACAAATCTGCTCAATACTCATTCCCAAAGCCTCAAAGCAACCGCTTGGGCATTACTCCTCCGATAATGATACGTGCAGCATGGGCCCTGCTTGTTGGGAAGATGACCAGTACAGAAGACGTCGTCTTTGGTGTTACGCTATTCGGGAGGAATGTACCGCTTCCGGGAATCGAAATGGTAGCCGGACCAACTTTTGCGACGGTTCCAGTGCGTATAAAATGGAACAGGAACGACACGGCAGTCGAGTACCTGAAGGCGGCACAGCATCAGGCAACAGGAATGATTCCATTTGAGCAAATAGGTCTACATAAACTGGCCGAGCTTAGTCCCGAGACACGGCAAGCATGCCGATTCCAAACGCTGGTCGTGATACAACCGGAAGAGGCCAGTGATGGCTCGGACGAGCTGGGCACGTGGAAGGGCGACTTTGGCCAAGGAGACAGAATCGACTCATATGGCCTTGTGCTTATTTTGCAACTCGGTGCAGACACGGTGAGAGTTTCAGCTTCCTTCGACTCCAGGATGATTGAACCATGGAGGGTTGATAAGCTATTGAGCCGGTTAGGACATGTGGTCTTCCAGCTAGACCAGGCCAGCCCTGAGCTTCTCCTCTCAGATGTTGAAACCATAACTCCACAGGAGCTTGAGCAAATTTGGAATTGGAACCATGCAGTACCAATAGCAGCAGAGCAATGCGTTCATAAATTATTCGAGCAGACAGCTCAAGCTCAACCTGATGCATCTGCCGTATGTGCCTGGGATGGAGAGTGGACATACCGCGACCTAGACGAAGCTTCCTCACGGATAGCCCATTACTTAGTTATTCTGGGTGTCGGTTTAGAGCAGATTGTGCCTTTGTGCTTCGAAAAGTCTCGCTGGACACCAGTCGCGATGCTGGCGGTCATGAAAGCCGGAGGAGCATCAGTGGCTTTGGACTCTACCCAACCAGAAGAGCGCCTTCGTACAATCGTACAGCAAACCGAGCCCGCCTTGATGCTATCATCTTCGGCGAGTCAAGAGCTGGCGAGTCGCCTAAGCCGCCAGCACGTTGTCGTGGTCGATGACGGCCTGTTGGCAAGGTTGAAGCCGGTCTCTGGAACCTGTCAACTGCCGGTCGTGACACCATCTAACAAGCTCTATGTTGCCTTCACATCGGGTAGTACTGGAGTTCCTAAAGGTGCTGTTATTACTCATCGAAATTTCAGCTCCGCGATCCAGCATATGCGCAATTCAAGATGCGCTATTGTCGATCCCACGGCGAGAGTATACGACTTCGCTTCGTACGCTTTTGACATCAGCTGGTTCAACAGCCTGCAGTCTCTGACTAACGGTGCATGCCTGTGCATCCCTTCCGAGGCGGATCGAAGAAATGATCTTGCGGGATCCATTCACCGGTTACAAGCCACGTTTGCAATATTAACACCGTCAACCGCGAATATTCTCCCACTTGAGACCATCTGCTCCCTCCGGACGCTAATGCTAGCTGGCGAGGCTCTACCGTCCGAGTACGCAAAACGATGGCTTGGGCTAACTCGGTTGACGAATGGATACGGTCCATGCGAATGCACTCCGATCACCACCGTTGCGGCCATCGAGGGGACAAAGGTAGTAGCATCTAGCATAGGTAGAGGTGTTGGCGTCAATACTTGGGTAGTACAGGCCTCAGACCACAACAGATTAGTCCCTATCGGGGATGTCGGAGAGTTGATGCTGGAAGGGCCTCTCGTCGGCTGCGGCTATATTGGTGATGCCGAACAGACAACAGCGGCCTTCATCCAGGATCCAACATGGCTTCGTCATGGCGCTTCTGGCTTTCCTGGTCGCCAAGGCCGCCTGTACAAGACAGGCGACTTAGTGCGGTATAATTCAGATGGCAGCCTGGTCTTTGTCGGACGTAAGGACGCCAACCAAGTCAAGATTCGCGGGCAAAGAGTCGAGTTAGGCGACGTCGAGCACCACGTTCATGTTAGCATCCCAGCTGCGAGACAGGTAGCAGCTGAAGTGATACTACCTGCCGATGCGAACGCTCAAGGGCGGCCAACACTGGCTGCATTTCTTGTAGTTGAAGATCAACCGGGTTTATCGTCAGAGGTTCAAGTCATGAGCGTATCGGCTGAAGTTCATCATGAGCTTACAAAGCGTTTACCCGGCTACATGGTTCCGAGTGTTTACTTTTCTCTGCACGAGCTCCCTACCAACAGCTCCGGCAAGATAGATCGGCGTCGTCTACGCGAACTCGGAGCCGGCTTCACTGTTCAGCAACTTGCCCAGCTACAAAGTGCGTCTGTCAGCAACAAACGTGCCCCTGCCAATGAGATGGAACGTACGCTTCAGAAAATATGGGCTCGTGTCCTGGGCGTCGATGCAGATAAAATTGGTTCTGACGACAGTTTCTTCCGCCTTGGCGGCGACTCTATTACCGCCATGCAGGCATCAGCGGCTTCCCGAGCGCTCGGTCTGAATATCTCTACAGCAGATATCATGCGCAGCAAGACCATCTCCTTAATCGCGGCAGCTGCTTCTTCGTCAAAACATCATTTCCCAGAGGTGGGCAAAGCTGACCCCAAGAAGGATGATGGTCAGCCTTTCGCGCTGAGTCCGATTCAGCGGCTTTATGTGGCCATGCAGTCGCATCCAACTCAGTGTTTTGACTTAAAATTTTTCCTCAAAATGCGTCAGCCAATCTCCTTTGCTTCTTTGTCAAAGGCCACTGAGAAGATTGTCATGAGGCATCCCATGCTCCGGGCCAGGTTCATCCTGACCAGCAAAGGGGTTTGGAAGCAACGTATAATTGATGATGCGTCGCATTCATTTCACCTTTCTGAGGTAGTTGGTACAGAATCGGTGAGCTCATCAAAGGCTCACGATATTCGTCGATGTCGGGAGAGGCTCAACATTGAGACTGGCCCTATTCTGGCAGCAGTTCTGTTTAGCGATCAGGAGCGTCAAAGCCTGTTCATCACAGTGCATCACCTCGTTATTGATCTCGTTTCATGGAGGATTCTACTCGAGGAGCTCGAAGATCTCCTCAGTGGACGCGAACTGTCCACAAGTCCGACGACAAGCTTCCAGAGGTGGTGCTCTCTTCAAGCACAATATGCCCTTCAAAACCTTCAACAAGAAACAAAGCCGGGAGTCAAGCCGCCTCTTTTATCATACTGGGGGTTGAAAATTGACGACAATGTACAAGGAGCGATTGCATTAAAGGAGTTCACGATAGATGAAGAAGCTAGCAGTGCGATTTTAGGAGCCTGCAATGAGGCGTTTGGCACACGTCCAGTCGAACTGATGATCGCGGCTCTTATTTACTCATTCTCAACTGTTTTCACTGATCGAACCTTGCCCACGGTGTTTAGTGAAGGGCATGGCCGCGAGCCCTGGGACGACCGCATTGATCTTTCTCGAGTTATTGGCTGGTTCACGACGATTTCTCCTGCGTTCGTTCCGAGTAGAGAGCTTCAGGACTTGGTGGAAACTATACGCTTGACCAAGGATTCTGTCAGAAGATTGTCAAAGAATGGCTGGTCTTACTTCACATCTCAATACGCCGATGAACATAATGCCGCAACCAATGCCACTGACTTCCCTGTCGAGGTATTATTCAATTTCGCCGGCTCCTACCAGCAGCTAGAAAGAGACGACAGCTTTTTTGAAAGCACCTCGATATCAGAAGACTGTCACCCGGAATCATGGTTAAAGTTGCGCCGTTTTGCGCTGTTTGAATTCAACGCCCATGTGGACCAGGGCCGGCTGGCTGTGTCCCTCGAATATCCCAAGAGCACACAACATGGCGATTTAATCGAACGTTGGGCAGTGATCTATGAAACTACATTGAAAAATTTGGGTGCGCTATTGAACAACAGATCACCAGAGTGGACTTTATCCGACTTTCCCTTGGCGTTTACGTCTTACACCGACCTGGAGGAATTCCGGTCTGTCACATTGGGCCAACTTGGTCTCGAGAACGCACAGGATATTGAAGATATTTTCCCATGTACTGGCTTGCAAGAAGGGCTTCTCTTTGCCCAGTTCAAAGCCCTAGACAACTATCGAGTGGCCCTCAATTTTGAAATAACAGCTACTGAGACTCCTGGCGATCACGTCGACCTACTCAGAATTGAACGTGCTTGGCAGGCCGTGGTGCGGCGGCACACGCTGCTCCGTTGTATCTTAGTTGACATGGTTCCCGGAAGCAGCAGGACAATGCACGTCGTCCTGAAAGACCCTAAGCCCAGCATTTCATTTGATCGATCTGCATCCGAGGCTTCGGTAGATCGTGGATTCGTTGGCGGCCGAACTTGCGTCAAGTATGACAAGTACGGTCTTCAGCACCACTTATCAGTATCTTGCATTGACGAGAAGCATGTCCGCATTTGTTTCGAGTTGAATCATGTGATTTTGGACGGACACTCGACCGGCGTGATGCTTCATGACTTCTGGCAAGCTTATACTGGCACTCTCTCCCTGGATGCACCCTCTTACGGCGACTTCATCAGATACGTTGAAAAACAACCCCGTGGTGCCGACCGTGATTTTTGGGTCAAGTATTTGGAAGGGGTGAAACCTTGTTTCTTCCCGCCCTCAAAGTCAGCAACAGGGGAGATGAAGGACATCACGGTCTCAGTGCCGGGCCTTGAGGCATTCAAGGTGCATGATTTCTGTGCTAAATGGGAAGTTGCAACAGCTTCTGTGATTCAGACCGCATGGGCTCTGGTGCTGTATCACTTCACAGGCTGCACAAGCCCTTGCTTTGGCAACCTTGCCTCGTGTCGAGATGTGCCTATCGACAGACTCGGAGAAATGTTCGGACCCGTCATCGCCATGATCCCATATCGTGTACGATTGGATGGGAGTCATTCGGTCGTAGAGACATTGCGGGAAGCGCAGAAAGACTACGTCGATAGTTTGCCCCATCAGATGTTTTCATTAATGGAAATCCACGAGGCGCTTGACGTCGGCTCGTCTGGGTTGTTTAATTCTATTCTTAGTTTTCAACGAGTCGCTGAGCAACCAGATGCATCCGTGGACGGACATATCATCCAAGAGAGATCTGCTCATGATCCAGTAGAGGTAGGCATATCCATTTCCATCACTTGAATTGTCTCCAGGTATCAACCCATACTAATATGGTTCACTTTAGTACCCCATCTCCCTCAGTGTTGGCGACAGTGATACAGAATTGTCGATTGAAATGACTTTTAAAGCGGGTTTTATTCCGAATGCTGAAGCTGATCGTGTAGCGAAGGCAATGGGAGCCGCTGTGTCGTCGCTTATAAGTGAACCCCACAAGAAAATCAGCAACGACAGCCTCTTAACCCGAGATGACTTGGAGCTTATATGGTCTTGGAACTCTGAGGTGCCAGCAGAGGACATGCGTGCCCATAATGTATTCGAAGAACAGTCCACGTTGCGATCCGAAGCCGTAACAGTCTGTGCCGAGGAGGTCGTGACTATCGTCAAAGGAGCCGGTCTAGTGACGTGGGTGGTTGACCCCAAAAACCATGACTCCCTGCTGCCGCCCGGCTGCGTTGGAGAACTCCTTCTTGAAGGGCCACTTGCTGTTTACAGCGACCTCTGTGGCAAAGTGAAAAGTGACGCAGCCTTCATCAAGGACCCAAAATGGTTGCTCATGGGTGTTCCAGGCAAACAGAAAGGACGACACGGCAGGCTCTACAAGACAGGCTACCTAGTCCGCTATAATGTGGATGGCAGTCTGGTCTTCATCGGTCGTAAAGAAGACACTCAAGCAAAGATCAACGGGCAAACAATTGAGCTGGAGGAGGTCGAATACTGGGCCCAAAACCACATGTCAGATGCTAAGCATGTTGTGGCCGAGGTTATTAAACCTCAAGGGGCCGACCTGTCTTCAAACTCTCTGCTTGCCATGTTTGTTCAGCTGAAGGATGAGACAATTGACGGCAATGAACCAGACGCTCGTATCAAGTTACTTCCCATCCCCGCTGATGTAGAAGGCAGATTGGCCAAGCATTTACCTGTTCACATGATGCCATCTTTGTTGCTCTCCGTCTCGGAGCTACCGAAGACAATGACGGGAAACATTGATAGGAAGCGATTACGGGAGATGGCGGCCCAATTCAGCATTGAGCAGTTAGAGACCGCACGATCTTCCGGACGAAGTACAAGCCGACGACCAACCTCTGAGGCAGAACGGGTTATGCAAAAAATCTGGGCCAAGATTCTTGATGTTAGTATCGATGGGATTGGCCCGGACGACAACTTCTTTCATCTGGGTGGCGACTCAATCTTGTCCATGAGACTTGTAAGCGAGGCCCGAAAGGTTCATATGAACATTACGGTAGCGGACGTTTTCCACCGCAAAACTTTGGCTGAGTTGGTCAACGGGCAGCATGTAAATGGAGTGGAATCCGGTCCACAGCTCGGTGAGGTTGCGCTCGTTGATTCTTCTACCAGGGAAGCCCTTTCCGAGGAGATCGTCTCCATTAGCTCAGACATCTGCCACAAAGACATTGCTGATATTCTACCCGTCACCAGCGTCCAAGAAAGGTGTTTTGTCGAGGGTATATACCCTGTCATGTGCATCAACCAAGACGACGCCGTTAGTGGCACTTCATGTGGACGCTTTGCAAACTACGTCTATATAGATCTGCCCGAGAACACTGATGTCCCTCTTCTGGAGGAAGCCTGTAAGCGAACCCTTAGCCAGTTTCCTATTCTGCGAGCATGTTTTTTGCAGCTGCAGGGGAAATTCTGGCAGGTCGTGCTGCATCAAATCCGGCATCCTTTCCGCGTGCAGGATGTCAGCGAGAATCTTGATGTAGCCCTCCACAACTTTTGTCTCAGTGATGCTCACAGCGTCTCCGCGACTCTGCCTCCTGTTTCTCTCGTACTCCTCAGGCACAAGACGCAAGGTGGCCGGCTGATAATTCGAATTTCTCATGCCCAGTACGACGGTGTTTGCCTACCCACGATTATTGCGTCGTTCATAAATGGGCATGTACCAACTCCTCTTCCCCCAAGCTTCTCTTCGTTCCTGTCGCATGCCTCTCTCAGACGGCCCAAGTCTATCGAATACTGGAAAAAGCTTCTGCAGGGGTCACAGCAGCCCGGTCACCTGCGCGAACATCTCCTCGCGCAGACAGATATCCATACGCCGCAGCCAGAGGCAATTTATATTCGCGCAGAGACAAGTCTTCCTCGCCTTCCGGGCAACATCACTCCGGCGACTCTAGCTAGCGCCGCCTGGGCACTGCTTCTGTCACGCCTGACTGGGCGCGGCGATGTTGTCTACGGACATTTGGTAGCAGGACGAAACTCGGAAATTGGAGGCATCGATAAGACCGTAGGATGCTGCCTCAACTTTATACCCGTACGAGTTACGTTCCCGTCGACTCAGACCCCGACTGAACTACTGTTGGCCGTCCAAGAACAGTTTCTTGCTGTTGGGGAAGCCGATTCTCTTGGCTACAGGGAGATTATCGAGAACTGCACAGACTGGCCGCCGGGCTCAACGTTTGAGTCAACCATCCAACACCAGAATATTGATGAGAATCCGCAGATTCAATCTGCCGCCGGCATATCGCGAGTGCAATTCTTTCAAAACCCCCATCTTGTGCCGATGTCAATACACATGGTCTCGGAAACTCGAGGCAATGAGCTATGCTTTGAGCTCAACAGCAATACACACATAATGAGGCTAGATGCGGCTAAGGCCATGATTGATGGGCTTATCTCAATTATTGACGAGTTCAAAAGTGCTATATGACCTGAGCTCTAACAACTTCAACTATTCAAAATAGATAAGAGGGCAAACCAAATCCCCATCAGAAGACTTTTCACATTCCCTAGAACGATAGTCGGTATATATATAAGCTATATGTGTTTTTCTACCATGTGGCTCCGCTCAATTGACGTACGAGGGACTCTCCCCTGCCAGTATCACCAAATTCACCATTTCATATCGTTTTGCGTGCATAACCTCTCGACATAGGATAATTGATGGCTTTGCAGAAATAATTGTATAATGACATAGCTTTCGCTATACATGCAGCCACTTGCCGTGCTGATAGTGGATTGGAGGGTATTCGTGCCCGGGATTACGACACGTCTGCACTACTCTCACTAATTTGATCTCCAAGCTCTTTAGTTTTGTGCAGATTTAAACATAAAAGACTAAAAAGGCTGTGCACTGCTTCAATTGTTAGCCTACCGAATTGGCCAGCATCAGCCAAGACATGACACATTTTCAGTGTAAAGCATATGGCTTCTCAACGCATACAGGTGAAATATGGATATTGACACAAAAGATATTCTGGGGAATACACCCCTTCCTTAAAGCGTGCAAGGCCTTCGCTGCATGGAAAAGTTTCGAGGTAATAGGGGTGAGGGTTAGTCCGATCATCGCTGCCTAGAGAGCAAGCCGACCAAAAATTTGAAATAAATTAAGTAGTGGCAGAGAGTTCCCCAAGGGCAATAACTTGACTGTGTTTATCCAAGCGACCTAGGGATGCTGCGTTCAGGAATGGTCCTCATGTGGTACAGTACGGCTGTTTACCAAGGGCGGCCCAACAATAGTTTAGCTAACATATCATACCCAGCTCTTCAACTAAAGTATTCCAAGATAATTTACTCTCTTGAACAAGCTCAAAATCCAGGCGAGTCGTTGGGCACTTCCGCGTCACGAGAAGCCGTAAGGCTGTGTTTATCTGTCCAGTATGCGTTCTGAACTGAAGCAACTGCCTCCCGAGTCTAGTCGCAAACAAGCAAGACGTTTTTGGCTTTAGAAACGCACACATCCGCCACTTTTCAATCGTGAATGGGGAGGTTAAGCGAAAGAGCGGTGGTACACTTTCTATAACCATAGACGACTTTGCAAGCGCGAAGAGTGTCAAGAGTTGGTGTATTGTAATTCTCAAAGAAATCTAGAACACGAATAAAAGTAAATACATCAGGAAGGCGTTCTCATCGAATTGAACCGAACCCCAATTCTTCTCGTCTATTCAAATAAAAAATCCAGCATGTCTAGAAGCCACCGCCACGCCAAATGCCACCGCTCTAATTGATGGTGTACCATGGAACTCTGATTGTTTCGGGCTTCGAGCCAGGAGTTCTAAGTCGAAGGGGCAGCACACTTGACGCCCGTGGCCTGGTTGACACAGACTTCGGCTCCGACTCGATTGCCGTTCATCTCGTAGTAGCCGCCACCGCAGAAGCCGCCAACGTTGCAGAAGATGCTGTCTCCGCACTTGGGCCCGTTCTGCGGGAACTGGGGATCGGGTGTGTTGATGCAAGACTTAATCTGAACACAGACATTGTCGGTATTACCCGAGCCAGAATAGTCACTGGGGCCGCAGATGTAGCCAGAGAGGCAGTCGGCGTCAGTAGCACACTGGGGAACTGCCGTAGCAGTAAGGGCCATGCCCATGGCGATGATGGCGGACTTGATAGTGAATTGAGCCATTTTGTAATAGTAAATCTGTCGTTGTTTTCAGACGAGTAGGATGCCTACGGCTGATGTGCAGGTGCGGACGGTTGTAATCGTGGTTGAATAAACCGGATTTAATGTGAGAATCGGTCGAGTGATGAAAGTAAAAGGGATTGAAGATTGTTGTGCTGGAATTTATTTTTTCTTCCTGCAAGATATCCAGGGTTTATTTATACCCAAATGTCCAAGTCCCGTGGCGCGTGCATACTGACAATAATATACCCTCGTGATAGCAGGTATTATCCTATTCCTACCACCACCGTCCTCTTAGCGGCTTCCCCGAAGCTGTTAGTAGAGCCTCTTTCTAGGGAAACGGCTGGCTCGGACGAATATGTGCCGATGGCTTCTTCAGCCCAATCGCGCCCCGTGGCGTTCCCATGACATCAATGTGCCTCGCAGACTCGGCATTGTCGCGGCCCTCATAAAACCGTTCAGATGAGTTGTATGTTTGTGAAAACTGCTTGATCGTCTTAATTGTGGTCAAATGAGGTGATTTAGCCAGCTGCTTGCCTCCCTGGGTTGTGCTCATTTTCTAAATTGACCCTGTATTGCCCTAAAAAATTATTGTTCTGCTAATCACCTTCGCCACCGGATGACGTATCTCTATAATTTTCCAAATTAGGTGCTTTTACATTGTCTCCCTGCTCGTCGAGTGCTAATCTGACAGCATTTGATGCTAGGTTTGCTAGGGCTCCGGATATTGCAGTACGTAAAGTTCAACTTTATATCTAAAAATAGCTCAAGCACAGGAACTACCGCCACCGCAGGGATCATCAGGAGAAAGTAAAATATCCGCATGGCGGAGGGTCAAGGGGAAGTGTGAGTGAACTAGGGATTATGGCCAGTATAGCGTTGACGGGAATGCCATGCCGTCAACCGAATAGGCTGCCACCCTGCGGGTGAGTTGACACCGACTCGTGACACTCATTTGCCTAATAGTCGGTAGGAAAAACACTGCCACATTCTGCAGTTATAGGGAAAACATGTTACCTGGGCCTCTTACATGTAAGGTCCTTGGCGCCGTCTTTTAGCCCTAGGGGACTTGAAACGGCCATATTGCATCGAGCTCATACGTCATTATAATTTTTGAGTTGTCGTTATTGGTTAAAAAAACTGGGACTTTATAGAAATTATGGACGGTAGAGCCGATACTTAGATGTGTGCTACACTACCTAGATATTTGGTTGTGTGGTGGCAGTAAGCTTGAGGCCACAAAGGCTGCTCCTAGTGGCGCCAAAGCGCCCAGACAGCTTGACCACCTTTTCATTGGCAGCCAGTAGGGCCAATCAAATTAATCAACTAATGTTTGGAGAACTGGTGGCAGTGTAATGCAACAGATTGATGTAAGTCGGTCTGTTAGTCTGTTGAACAAGCCAGTCATTCCAGGGCAACATAGCAGTCACAACACGAGCCCAAGTGTTTTGTAATTTTAAAGTGAACTGGGCAAATTGCGATTGAGCATGCCCGTCAATGGTTTAGCACTTCCCCCAAGAAGCGCCTTACTACATACTCCAATGGTTTCGGATCAAAGCCATGACGCAAGACCATAAACAGCCATGAGCTCTTATTTCTTGCGTATCCCGTATCATCTATTGCATATCGACGCACTGAAAACAAAGCAGCTCCATTTTTCTGCAATTGCCGCGTTGGTGGCGTACACATTCCCAGCCCGACAGCCGTAGCTACCTATCACTATGTCGAATGGCGTGACAGTTCAGCCTCTTTGATCCATCAAGACTATGGTGTCTGTTCGGTAGCAGCAAGCCCGAGAAGCGTCAGCGCCGCGGAGAAGCCCCTGTACAAAACATACAAGTCAATCGGGAACAGCGAGACCATCGCCAGCAGTCAGCAATATTGCAACTCGTTAATGATGCGGTGTCGGTGAAGGCGAACAACACAGAATCTCTGCTCTGGGATAGGAAGTCGAGAAAGGACAAGCATACAAAATAATTCCATTATAAATATGGCTACCACTCGCTGATAAACTGGAAGATTACAACACAATCCACAGTCAACACAGACACTCCAGCACCACTCCTCTCTTTGAGAACTACATCGCGGAATCAATCAAGCCCTCTTGCCAAGCCAAATATCAAAACAACCTTACAACATGGCGTCCAGAATCTTGCAGATCACTGTCGCAGCTTTTGCCTTGACCACTGCGGTCAGCGCAGTCCCTCAGCAATACCCCAACAAGTGCGGCGACCAGGTTTGCCCAAGCGACAAGCCCAACTGCTGCGCCGTCAATGTGAATGGCGTTGAAGAACTCGGCTGCTTTGCGGTCTGCCCCAATCCACCACAGCAGTCGCAACGGCTTCAGCAGAGGCAACAGGGCGTTGAGTGCGGCGACTCCATCTTTTGCAAGCCTAACCAGCTTTGCTGCGCCGTCATCTACAATGGCGTCGAAGAGCGAGGGTGCTACGACGGCCCTCAATGCCCTCCTCTCAACCCGGCCACCACCATGACCACCATGACCACGACAACCGCCGCCTCTCCCGCCGCCACTGCTGGTCCCAAGTGCGGCGATTCCTTCTTCTGCCCTGTTGGCAAGGTGTGCTGCCCCAACAAGCTTTATACTTGCGCCGACACTGTTGATCAGTGCCCCAAGTAAGACTTGCCTTGACAATTGCGGTACATTGACGTCGAGGTCAACCCGGAACGAATACAGTCACAGGGCTGGAATGTATAGAATTTCCTGTTTTGTTTATTTTGTTTTGTTTTACGTCATTTTGCTGCCGGATAGACAATAGACTATAGACAATACTACGGGAGAGGGTATACAGCGTTGGATGCATGGCTTCGGAACAGTGCTACTAGACCGTTTCCTCATGGTCGATAGTCAAGCTTTATATATAGACAATGACAGTTTCTGTTGACACAATGCTCCGTCAAGTCGAACCATCATGACTCTCAACGTAGTTGTCAGCTTGTAATGGCGAGCTGCTAGCCCCATCTAATTCATCTCCAACGGCTAGAGTGCTGAATGGGCATCGGATGTCTCGACGAATACCTCAGAGGTACTGCTAAAAGCGACCTAAAGCCTATAATGAAAATTTCAATGACTTTGAGTGTATGAATAATACTGTACTTTTGGACCGTTTAGGAACCTAGAGGACTTGTCACTAAAAACTACAAAACTACACTACTTTTAATGCTCTAGGGCTAACCTAAACTCAACTTAAACTTACTACTATACAAGCTCTAATAAACTACTAGAATAGCTAGCCTAATAGGTACCTTTGACTTATATAATATAAAATACACTTTATATAACCTTAAGGTTAGAGCATTAAAAGTAGTGTAGTTTTATAGTTTTTAATGAAATTTAATGTAGTATAATATAATGTAATTTTATTATATTATATTACGTTTTAAAAATTAGTGTAATATATAATATTAATAAATTTATAAGCTATTATTAGCTAATATAATTAGTAAGCTAAAATAAAGCT